CTGTTCACAGGAGCTAAAATGCTTTGTTTTAATGAGAGGTCATATGTCCATTGCATTGCACAACCTGGCGGAGGGTGATGAAGGACTCGGTTTTTGCTTAGAAATTAAAGAAGACTCTGAAATGTCATAGATTTCTAAGAAGCTAAGTAAGATTGTATAATGATGCTTGAAAATGAAGAATCTTTAAGTTAGGGCCTCAGGTTGCTTTGAACTTGAACATTTATTTTCTTTGACATAAAAAAAGTTAATGGTTATAATGTTCCTGGTTCTATTTAATCAGGGTTCTATTTAACTTGGCACAGTTCAAGGAAAGATTAGATTCTGCCTTTAACAATGTGTAATCAAATGGCTCAGAAAGTAGCACGAAAGGGAAAGCTTAACCATATTTACAAAATTACTACTCTCATTGTTTCTCAGTGCCATAGCTTGTAATTAGGCCAATAATTAAAATTACCATAAAGAAAAAATATTGAGATATGTCTAACCAAAGGCAATAACAGAAATCAGGAATATGTGACCATTAGCTCAAATCTGTCAGCAGTACTTATAAATTGTGCAAAGAGTGTTAGAAATTCCTCCCACAGCCTTTCTTCGGTATTTGTGTTCCATCGAATTTCATTCTCTAAAACAGTGGCATTTTCTACATCTAAATCTTGTACTTTTTCATTCTTCCATTTGTTCAATGGATGTTACTATGTTGCTATAGTGTGGGATAAAGCATTTAAAGGATATCAAGAAAAACTAAATAAGAAAAAGCGTGTAATGGATATCAAAGAAGACAAGAGCTTGCCAGTAAACAGCGTGTCGTGTCAGAGAAGAGAGAAGCGGCTCCACCTCAAGTTCCTCTCAACTGACAAGCATGTAGTGGTTACATAATTTCATGTCAACCTGAGGATATATTAACAGCTTAGGGGTGGTATCCAAACTGTCAATTAGGTCCCAGCTGGATGATGCCGCCTTGTGGGTGTGGCCTTCTCATAAGGAAGACCCTGGGACGCCCCACTTCTCTCTCCACCTTCACCTTCCTGCTGGCTGACCCTGGTAGCTGCCAGAGCCCTGTGATGAAATGCACCACGGGAGCCACACAACGTTGACCCACCAGCCTGTGCTCTTCTGGCATTCTGTATCATGGCAAGTGGCTGTGTGCGTCTAAGAGAGACTTACGGACTATTATCAGACTTATAGGCTTGAGTTGGACTGGTTGGCATGTTTACTCCATGTATACTTACTTCTTGATATAAAGCTCTCTTATATGAGTGACTCTGGATTTGTTTCTCTAGTCAACACAACAGAGATGAACTATCAGGGTAGACTGAAGTCAGAAAAGTGGAAAACTTAGCTATGAGAAGTTTTGAACTATGCCTTCCATGACCAATGATCACAGTAACAAGTTTTCCCTTTAAAGAAGAGAAGAAAAACTCAATTTTTAAAAATCTAGTTCAACATACACTGTTATAACTCTAGAACATGTCCACCGGGAAGGATAAAAAATAAAGAATAAGGAAAATATTTTTCTCTTCATTAATGAAAGTATTCCTGTATTTTCATAAACTATATTCTCTATATCCGCTATTAAGACAAACATGGCGGATATTGATTAGATGTTTGACTGTTAACTGAAAACTCTGCAATTCAAACCTCCTAGCTCTGTAGGAGAAATGTAGCATTCTGTTTCTATAAAGATTCCAAACGTAGCATTCTCCTGTGGAGACGTTCTATGCTGCCCAGTAGAGTCATCATAAAGCAGGTGATGGTACTGGACATTTAGGAGAATAATACACATACACATCAATAAACACATATTTATCAAGGTCCAAAACACAAAATAATATAAAACTCAGACAACCTAAACTCTAGCAAAAGTTCCCAATGTATGCGATCTTAACACAAGATCGGTTAATTTTCACCAATGAAATATTATAGTACAAACAGATATTCAATCATTGCTTCTAATTACAAAAAGTAGCCAACATGAAGGGATTTCAAAAAGTACAGGAATTTATGGAATTAAAAGATAATGGGTTTTCTATGAGTTTTATGAAGCCCATTCATACACGATACTTGTTTGTTACTAGATGCCATCAAGTTGGTTCCAATTCAGAGACCGGGTGTACAAAGGAATAAAACACTGCCCAGTCCTGTGCCATCTCACAATGACGTGTGAGCACTTTGTTGCAGCCACTGTGTCAATCCATCTTGTCCAAGGCCTTCCTCTTTTTCACTGCCCTTCTACTTCACCAAGCATGATGTCCTTCTCCTGATAACATATCAAAGTATATGACACTAAGTCACGTGATCCTTGCTTCTAAGACACACTCTGGCTGGACTTCTTCCATGACAGAATTGTTGGTTCCTTTGGCAGGACGTGGTACTTCCGATATTCTTCTCCAGCACCATAATTCAAATTATGCATCATTTCTTGTTCGGTTTTCCTCACTTGGTTCAACTTTCACATGCATAGGAGGCCATTAAAAATACCATGGTGTGGGTCAGGCATACTTTAGTCCTCAAGGTAACATCCTTGCTTTTCAACTTTAAAGAGTTCTTGTACAGCATATTTACCGAAAGCAACCATTACTTTATCTCCTGACTGTGGCTTCCACGGGCACCAATTACGGATCCAAGCTAAACGAAATCCTTGGCTAAAGAGAAACAATATTGTATCTCTTTACTGTGATGTTACCTAATGGTTCAGTTGTGAGGATTTGGGTGTGCCTTACAGTGAATTGTAAACCATATTCAAAGTTGTAATCTTGATCTTCATCAGCAAGTGCTGATGCTTATGTACTACTTATTATACCCCACATAATGCTCTAAGTGTTTTGAAAGTGATAATATTTAATTTTTACTGGGCCCTATGTAATAAGAGAATACATAGAAAACTACGTATTCTCTTAATTTGGTAAATGAGAAAACAGATACAGAAAAGTTAAGTAACTGGACCCAAGGTCACAGAGCTTAGGTACAGCAAAACGAGGGATATTAATTGTAGCAATTGTGTTGGAGCATCATGCTCTAACCACTATACACAGGAGGACAATCTCTACTTTAGCTATTATGTCCCAAAACCCTTAATCTCAAATCACAAAAAAAGAGGGCCTCTATTTTATACCAAGAGGAGGTAATTCTAATATTTGAAAATTGGAAATGGCTTTATTTCATAAAATTTCACTGGAAAATTACCTAGCATTTAAACCAAAATCATTCTGTCAAAAAGTTTGCCCATGTATTAAAAGACTATGTACAAAAATATCTAAAGTTACATGCTGGGTTGGTAAGCACAAGGTCAGCAGTTCAAAACCGCCAGTCAGCCCCACAGAAGAAACTGGGGCTTCCTACTCCCATAAAGGGTTACAGTCTTGAAAACACACAGGGACAGTTCTACCCTGTCCTGTTGGGTACCTATGAGTCAGAATTGACTCAGTAGCAGTGTGTTTGCTCTTTTTCTTCTTGTGTGCAAACAGTATTTTAGATAATACACACAAAGAGTTCGTACACAGTGTTTAAAACTTTGATTTCATGTGACATACTACAATAATGAACATGTTGAACACCATTTGCCAACATTATTTTAAGTGCTTTACACATATTTTTTAATTCCGTAACCCATGGGTTATTTCCCATTAGTACTCAGTTTTACAAATAAGGAAACTGAGCTACAGAAAGTTTCAGTCCGTGACTCACAATATTAACAATTTCACTTCATAATTTGTCAAGAGGGATTTCTAAACATTTTGTAACCTGGTCAAATAGTTATTAATATGACCATTCAGTGAGAATACTCATTTGTGACACACTTAATACTTTCCCTTTTTGCACCAAGTCAGACACACAGGGGATCATTTCTTCTCACACACTAATTTTTGTTTTTTAGTTTTTATTACTGAAATTATTACCAAGCACACTAACCACAGAAAACTTTGGTGACAGAGAAGTAGTTTCTGACATTGGCAGTATTTAAGATTTAATTCTGTTTTGACTTCTGAAGGCCATGTATTAGGCCTTCAGTGGGAATATGGAAAAGGCTAGAAGCATAAATGTAAAGAGCTAGAACATAGTGGAAAAAGCACTTATTTATTTTCACCACTACTCTGACTTCCTAAGAAGAGTATGACTTCAAATTTTGCCACCAAATAAAATGAAATTCATTTTGTCAAAATTCTCCATTATTATAAAGCTATGTAAGAAAAAGTACTTAAGAGTTGATTATATACCTTCATAGTTTAAAATTTACTGTTTATCACATACTGACTTCCTAAGAAGTATAAAATAAACTTTCTATTTAGTTTTTTTACTGTGAATTAGGGGGTGGTTTACAGATCAGATCATTTTTGCATCTAACAGTTTATTAATATTATTTATCAGTACTTTTAATACCACTTATTATGTATGGGAGGGTAAGATAATATGCCAGGGTGGATAAGACATATTATCTGGAGCAAACAAATAGACTACTAAATACGAACAGTGACAGATATTAGCACACAGTCATGTTAGCTTAAAGAGAGGTACAGGACTGCTGCACTGAAAACTTTTACTGTCACTGGGGAGGGGGCGGAAGGCTCCACCGAGAAGGCTTTGTGTGTGTGTGCTGAATCACTCTTGCCAACAGGACGAGACATAGTTAGGAAATGCATACTTAATTGGTTAATTTTTCCTCAAATTTAATGATCAGTTTTCCAGAAAAAAAGAGTGTGTTGTGTTTTTATTTCATAAATGTCTCTTAAAATCCTGAAAAATGAGCTTTGAGAGTCAGATAGAACCCCAAACTAGAAAGCACAGTATACAACAAAGTTAAATACAAGCAATACAATTAAAAATAACCTATTAAGTTACTAATTTCTTTCATTTCATTCAGCATTGATTTAACTCTGTGTGGCAAAAGGTTACATTCCTACAAGTTTACCCAGCTTAATGGTTAACTATATTCACCTGCCCACCTTCCCTTTGTACGGAAATGGGGTATATATAGATTTTAGGGATTTAGATCTGCTTAGAAGGGAAAACTAGCTCCAAATTACTGAAAATTTTAATAACTGGGATTCAAAATGTACACAATTAAGCTCTTTCTTTGTATTGTCCCGCTAGTTATTTCCTCCAGAATTGACCAAGATTCATCATTAGATGTACTACCTCCAGCACCAAAATCAAGATTTGCAATGTTGGATGATGTCAAAATTTTAGCAAATGGTCTCCTTCAGTTGGGGCATGGTCTTAAAGACTTTGTCCACAAAACAAAGGGCCAAATTAATGACATATTTCAGAAACTCAACATATTTGATAAGTATTTTGATGACCTATCAGTGCAAACCAGTGCGATCCAAGAAGAAGAAATGGAACTCAGGAGAACTACATCGAGACTGCAATCCAAAAACGAGGAAGTAAAGAACATGTCGCTTGAACTGAATGCAAAACTTGAAAGCCTTTTAGTGGAAAAAATTCTACTTCAAAACAAAGTGAGAGGCTTGGAAGAGCAATTAACCCATTTAATTCAAAATCAACCTGAAATTCAGCAACACCCAGAAGTAACTTCACTTAAAGTAAGTAAAAATGAAAGACGGTTCCTAATTATATTTTCAATGTGTATTTTTTCTAAAATAATTACAGATGTTATTTGATAATTTGCTGTAAATCTGTTGTCAAGGAAATTGTGTGAAGAAAATTAAATTCCTACTGTTACTTCAAGTTGGTTTTCATGTTTCCCCAAAACTACATATGAAACTAAATTTATATTTATAGAAAAATTACAAATCAGTTAAGTGATAAAATTAAGGAAGCTAAATTACTAACCATTATTAATTATAGAAGGCAAGTATAAAGTTAAAGAAACGTATATTTAAAGACATTTCTCCATGTTAAAAGTAGTTAAAAAATAACCTAAGTAGTAAACTGATCTGTAAAATACTAAAATATTATGTTTTCCCAATTACCGGTAATCAAATTCAAAGATATTAAAATTTAGGATGATACAATTGAAAACAAAACATAAGAACTGAACAGTTTGTGCTACCTGAAGAAGTATGGAAGGAAAAATATGCCGATATTAATTTTAGAGTTGACCATTAGTTTAAAAATTGGAATGTGTAGTATGTAATAGAAAAAAACGGTTTTAATACAAATCCAACAAAAAGAGAAAAATGAAGAGAAGGAGAGTAGAAAGGAGGACAATGGAAGAGCTGAAGGAAAGAAGTGAGAAAGGGGGGAAATTGAGAGAGAGAGAAAATGGGGGAAATTGAGAGAGAGAGAGAGAGAGAGAGAGAAGCAGTTAACCAGCCTCTACCTGTGCTCAGACTTTTGTAGAGCAACAAGACAGCAGCATCCAAGTCCTTCTCCAGACAGTGGAAGAACAATACAGACAATTAAACCAACAACATAGCCAAATAAGAGAAATAGAAAATCAGGTGAGTCAATATTTCACCCGTCATTTACATAAAATTGAAGGGTATAAAGACATGGACTCTAAAATCATTTTAGAGCTTTAACAAGGTGCTGAATAAAATGATAACACCGACATAGTTGAGATTTTCGACTCTGAACCTAAAAAACTTACAAGTATCTGGGTTTGAATCTTGGCTCTGAAAGTTTACAGTGTGGTCATGAATACACTATTTCACCTGCCAGTTACAGAACTCATCTTTATAAGATTGCTGTGAGAAAAAATATCCTTAGTGTAGCGACCAGAGTGACCCTATAAAACCAAAAGTAGATCATTTCTCTTCCCTCAGAGCCCATTATTAGTTCCCCATCTCACCCACAGTGACTCCTCAGACCTGGGATGACTCCCTTCATTGCCTAACTGACCTCATCTCCTCCACTCGTCACGGTTAACCAAACCCACTGAACATACTGCAACCTCGAGGGCCGATGCCTTCTCTCTGTAATGCTCTTATCAGTTACTGTCTGAAGGACTCATGCTCTCATTTTCTTAGGTCTTTAGCAATTTTTTTCTTAAGGTCTTTATACAGTTCTTGATGCAATCTTTCCAAGTGACCCACTGAAAACTTACAACCCTCTACTCTCATTCTCAAATTTTCTATCACCTTCACTCACTTCTGTTTTCCTTAGCATTTAACCTTTTACCAGTATAAGAAAATACATATCTGAGTTAGTTATGTCTGAGTTAGTTATGTCTGAGTTTCATGAGAATTTCCCCCATTATGCTTACTGCTGTCCCCTCAAAATCTAGAGTTCAATCGAACTCAGTCAAGATTGTGTCTTAGTCAGCAGTTAGTAGTAAAAAAATACTCGCTAAGAATTTTATTACAAAAAAATTTGTACAGCTCTATGACATCATAACATCCCAAAAGGAAATTAATCTATAATGTATAAACAATCTAAAATGCAGTACAATATTTTAAATATTAGTTAGGGGTACTCTTACACAGCCATTCAAGAGGACTCAAATAATAGTGTAGACTCAAAGAATTGGCAAAAATTTGCTCTCTAATACTAGGAGTTAATATCAATTTCTACATGAAACATAGCTTAAGTAATGCCAATTGAACAAACAGGATTTTTGAAAACCATTTTTCATTTCCATAGTTTCTCTTTTCTTATATATGCTGCCCTTTTGAACTGTTTTTAAAATATCCCTTTTATTATGACCAAATGAATCTGATTAAAACTGTAGCACATCCCTACTTTAAAGTGATATTCACTATCATTTTAAAACATTTATCGATCTATTTTTTATCAGCTGAAAAAGACTGGTGTTCAAGAATCAACAGAAATTTCTGTTCCTTCAAAGACAAGAGCACCAAGAAATACTGCTTCTCTTCAGCTGAGTGAAATAAAAAATGTACAGCATGATGGTATGACCATTTGATGCCTTTCCTTCTTACAGTATCTTTCTCTCTCTCTCACTCTCTCCACGACTTCAATCAGAAATCCCATTCTCAGCATCTGTTTCTACGTTAAAAGAGGGTAAAAAGGCAAAACCTCCAAATATAATGGGTCAGCCTACACTGCATAATGAGTACATATTAAAATACATTCTTAAGACAATTGGGGGGATGTGAATGTGGACTGAGCAGCTGAATATAGAATTATCATTTTCTTTGATGTGATCATAGTATTACAGTTACATAGATGAATAATTTAAGAGATTCAAGATGAAATATTCCAGAGGCAAAGGGTCATAATGTTTGCAAATATGGAAAAATATTAATTGTTGAATATATTAAAAGTACATGAGGTTCTCTTCAACATTTCTTTACCTTTTCCTATATGATTTAAATTTTCACAAGACATAAAAAAATTGAAGGGAATGAATTTCTATTTCCAACCAAAAAAAAAAATACTCTCAAAACTCATTTATTTCTCATGCATTCATACAGGGGGAAAAATGTCTGTGTTCTCCATGCGTGTTCAGACACTTTCTACTTAAGCTACTGCTTATCATTTACGTGCTAAGTTCTATCCCAATCTTTTTTCTCCTTTAGAGTTTTCCTATGGCTAACAAAAAGAGTTTAATATTCTTAATGTGTCAAACTTAAAATAAATCTGTTTGCTTATTAATGTATCAGTATCTTCATAAAGTATGCCATCTAATAAAAAGTTTCAAATAAGATATCAACCTATAGAGATACTCTGATAATTATACCTTATATAATAACATTTTGTTTTGTCTAGGAATTCCTGCTGACTGTACCACCATTTTTAAAAGAGGTGAACTTACAAGTGGCATTTATGCTATTAGACCCAACAACTCTCAAGTTTTTAATGTATACTGTGATGTTAAATCAGGTAATGTAAACCTGAAAAGAAATGGACAGTAGTTAGAGCTCCTCACTAACTATTAGCAAGAATAATCTTGCTTTCTACAGAGTGAAATATATGAGTATCAGTACAATCTAGTATTGTACCTTATTTATGTTTGCTCATATATTTATTCATTCTCATACCTCCTTCCATAAAACAATCTGAAACTATTACTATCAATAGGTTTTACTATGACAAAATTCATAATTGCCCTGCATTTAATTTTTTAGAAACTATAATTTTTTTAATCAATTTATTGGGGCTCCTACAATTCATCACAATACATAGATCAATTGTGTAAAGCACATCTATACATTTGTTGCCCTCATTATTCCCAAAATTCGCTTTCCTCTTGGGTTCCCGGAATCAGCTCATTTTCCTTTTCCCCCCCTCCCCCTCCCTTCCTCCTCCCCTCTCCCCCATGCACCCTTGATAATTTATAAATTATTATTGTATCTTATATTACACTGCCCGGCGTCTCCCTTCACCCACCCCTCTGCTGCCCATCCCCCAGAGAGGAGGTTATATGTAGCTCCCTGTGATCAATTCCTTTTCTAGACCTCCCCCCTCCCTCCTGGTATCGTCACTGTCACCCCTGGTCCTAAGGGGTCCATCTGTCCTAGATTCCATGCGTTTCCAGTTCCCATCTGTACCGCTGTGCATCATCTGGTCTAACCAGGTCTGCAAGGCAGAATTGGGGTCCTGGTAGTTGGGGGAAGAGAAACTATAATTTAAAACATAAAATGTTATTTCCATTCCAACATTAATAAACTACTTTGTAAGTCGCCACTTAAAAACATATCCACCCCCCCTCAACCAAGAACCCGTATTTTTACATTTGTGAATATTAATCTACTAAAAATATATCATTCTGTTCATCTTATTCAGGTAATTCATGGACCTTAATTCAGCACCGAATAAATGGATCACAAAATTTCAATGAAACTTGGGAGAATTACAAACATGGTTTTGGAAACCTTAATGGTAAAGTGCTTCATTCTTTCATTCATTCACTGACTTGATAGCTAAAAAATGTTACTAGAAACCTACTGAGTATGTTAGAAATGCAGCAGTGAACTGTAAAAATTCCTAGCCTTCAGAGATCTACTAATAAATAATGACCCATTTGTTAGTCATTTCACTTATCACAGCTGTTATTATTTGAATATACTAATTACAAGTACATCTTAATTGGACTAGTTATAACTTAATGTAATGACTTATCATTACAATGATACTTATTAAAGATAATTTTGATTAAGTGCTTTGTGCTTCCATAGTGTTACATGCTGTGAATGAGCTATAAAGAGTTATGTCCTTAACACTAGTCCCTCTTTTCCTATTAACATTTTAGCTATCAAGTATTTGGAGGTTGGAAGGGGTAAGGAAACTGTCAGGTGTACAGAACATAACTTTTAAATTTCAATTATCTAAATGCTATAAGTATACTATATAATGTGTGGTTTAAAGTACATTAGTTATCTCAATGCAAAACCTTTCTATTATCTAGAATGATGTGTAAGTATTTACTAAATAAGTAGAAAACATCTACTGTCAGTACGATCTGACCACTTAAGAATTTTCATATTCACTCCACTAGTTAAATCACTACCTAAAAGATAAATTAAGTGGTATGTTCCTAGCTCCGAATCTTCCAGACAAAGAGTACCCAGAATAAAAAGCTGACAGTTACGCTCAAAGAAGTCACACTGCAAAGGAAACTCCAAACTCACTGCCAGCCAGTCATTGTGAGGCACGGCAGCCTTCTGAGTTCCCAAAACTGTAACTCACAGTTGTAGAAAGCTTCCTCTGTCTCCAGAAGAGCGGCAGGTGGTTTCAAACTGCTGACCTCGTGGTCAGCAATCCAAAGCATAAGAAAATCAGCAATTTATTTCACTTACCAGCAATTCTTTAAAAAGAAGCCTCCTACTAACTCAATAGCAATAGGAAAAAAATATTTTTGTCTTCATTAATTATTTCATTTTTCAAGATTGTGATAGTTAAAGAGATCTATTTATATTTGTAAGAGTCCTGATAGCACAGTGGGATGTATACTGGACTAATAACATAGCTCAAACTCACAAGATGATCTGCAATAATGACACTGACTGCTTCCATTAAAATGTATAACCTCTGACATAGTCTGGGGTCAGATCTACAATGTCCTTCCTATAGGTCTACTGTAAATAAGAATCGGCTCAATAGCAGTGAGGGTTTTTTTTTAATTATGTATTTGTATTTGATATGCTTTAATGCCAAATAATAGAGAAAAGGTTACTAAGAACCACGCTTTTCCAATAATTTTTAAAATATTATTGCTTTCTCTTTCTGAAAAGTCATATTAAGCAGATGGTAAAGAACAAGTCTATAACTGAGAAAAATTATGTCACTCTTAACTAAGTCTCTGGGACTACTTAACAAATGTCTTTGTGATGCATGGCATATGTAAATACCCAATATTAAAGCTACCAGCATAGCGGGACTTACAATTGAAAAATTTTTCTGCCAGTGGCCAAATCTAAAAACATCTATACTTGTCTACTATATTTCACATGTAAAATATGCCTCCTAATTTTCATTTTAGAATGGATATGCTAAATATTTCTCATTTAAAATATTTATAAATATTTTTAACATTTTATGTATTTGTATACCAACAATAAAAATATTTTAAGGGCCTCAAGTGGAAAGAGCATGCTTTGAAAATGATGATGGCGGCATATGTGCAAATATACTTGACACACTGGATGAATATATGGATTGTGATAAGAGATGTAAGAGCCCCCAATAAAAGTATTTTTTTCAATGTTTTCGAAGAACACCAAGTATTTTAAGGAACTCTAGAAGAACTGGGAAATTAAGACAGCAACAAGGAATTTACTTGTGCCAATAGAGATACTCTGAACAGCTGCCAGTTTTTGACTTTTTAAAACTTTCATTCCAGGAGAATTTTGGTTGGGCCTGGAGAAAATATACTCCATAGTGAAACAATCCAATTACATTTTAAGAGTGGAGTTGGCCGACTGGAAAGACAATAAGTATTATGTTGAATATTCTTTTCACTTGGGAAACCATGAAACCAACTACAAATTATACTTAGTTGAGATTATTGGCAACATTCCAAATGCAATCCCAGAACACAAAGATTTAGTGTTTTCTACATGGGATCACAAAGAAAAAAGACACCTCAATTGCCAAGAAGACTATTCAGGTATTCATTTTCTAAGATCAGTACTTTATTTGTATAAATTCAAAAATATTTCACTGGCTATTTGTATACAATGTCAACTATTTAAAATCCGAAGCTCAATGAGCAATTTTTATTCTATTCAATTGTGTACTTTACCTATAATTCTCTTCATAAATTTCATTATCAAAGAAATAGCAAAGTTAGTAGATTTTACTGGTATGTAGCTTTAATAACACTGTTGTATTTCTAAGAAATAAAGATAAATTCACAAAGAAATTAACAGTGACTACATATGAGTTTGTGTCCATGAAATTCCCTCTCTATCTTCCATAGGTTGGTGGTGGCATGATATATGTGGAGAACACAATCTAAATGGTAAATATATCAAACCAAGATCAAAAACAAAGTCTGAGAGAAGAGGAATATGTTGGAAGCCTCAAAACGGAAGGTTATTCTCTATCAAATCAACCAAAATGTTGATCCACCCAACTCATTTAGAAAGTTTTGAATGAACTGAGGTAAATAAAAACCCAATACATTAAACTCGCCTCAAATCACTGTGCTTTAATAATCTGATATATGTGATATTAATAGGAAATTTTAAAATTATTAAAGCCATTATTAATTGAAAATAGAGAGAAAGTTGAGGCTATCTGCTACCATACAGACTTACAACCTCGGAAAACCTTATTCGAGTTGCCCAAAGTCAAAATCTACTGGGTGGCAGTTAAGTCTGGCTTTGGGGTTTTTCAATTTAATTATAAAACAAGTCACACAGAGCTTCAATGAAAACCATTTACTTTCTATCTAAAAATTCTGTATCATTTATTCAAATCTTTTTAGAATAGACATAGGAATCCATTATAAATGATCACAATTGAATTTTAGATTCTAAATTATCAACCCGTTGATAAATTTCTGGTATTTTCTTTTAAATTGGAAAATAAAGTTGTTTTTTTAAGTCATGATATGGGACACTTTTATGACATATTCAGTTAAAAATCTAGTTCTCTTGAAATTCCAAACCTGAATAAATATAAAAAATTGGTCATTTAAATTTGATTTCATTCACTTTAAATCTAGAATTAAGTTAGTTCAAAGTATGTTAATATTTATAATATAAATTTTTAAACTGATGCTTCATTTTGCTACAAAATAATTCGACCGACGTAATAAATCTTATTTATGAAACCAAAATAAAGCTGGATAAAATATTGTATTGAATTGAAATGGGGTCACTATTCTTTAAACAAATGCAGATGATAATGATGACTGTCATACTGACTTTAGTATCAAGTGTTACTACTATGAACATATTTGTTAACTTATCTATACTGTATGTATTTTATACGTGTTTTAACACTATTAAAGCTAAATTTTAAAGGGGTCTTTCCAGAATAAATTAAAAAATGTATTTACAGTATCTAGTTAATGTCAAATAATAATTGACTCCCATGATGTGAGTCAAATACTTTTGGGCACTTCTCACAAGTTACTGAATACCTAAATAGCCTGGCAGACGTGTATGTATAATGTTTTAAAATTCAATAAATACTTAGTTCCTTCCAGAAATTTAAATTTGTCTAGCCTTTTAAGATAGAAGATTACAATCTTTATAATTTATTATCCACAATAATCTCCAAGGATTATAATTATTACTGACTTTTAAAAATAATTTTTCAAAGCTAAAATGTTTAGTTGAACCCAGTTCTTAGAATATAATGTTTTAAGTTACATAGTGATTCATCTTGGTCAATAATACTCAGCATTATGTCAATTTATCACATCTATCAGACATATATCCTATATTTTTAAAATCATTTTATTGGGGGCTTGTACAACTCATCATAATCCATACATCCATCCATGGTGTCAAGCACATTTGTACATTTGTTGCCATCATCATTCTCAAAACATTTGCTCTTCACTTAAGCCCTTGGCATCAGCTCCTCATTTTTCCCCCTCCGTCCCCGCTCCCCCTTCCCTCATGAACCCCTGATAATTTATAAATTATTATTTTGTCATATCTTACACTGTCTGACGTCTCCCTTCACCCACTTTTCTGTTGTTCATCCCCCAGGGAGGAGGTTGTATATAGATCCTTGTAATAGGTTCCCCCTTTCTACCCCACCCTCCCTCCACCCTCCTGGTATCACCACTCTCAGCACTGGTCCTGAAGGGATCATCTGTCCTGGATTCCCTGTTTCCAGTTTCTATCTGTACCAGTGTACATCCTCTGGTCTAGCCAGATGTGTAAGATAGAATTGGGATCGTGATAGTGCGGGGTGGAGGCGGGGAAGGAAGCATTTAGGAACTAGAGGAAAGTTGTATGTTTCAACGTTGCTACACTACACCCTGACTGGCTGTCTCCACCCTGCAACCCTTCTGTAACATCTGTATTTCTAACACATATAAAAAGTTACATATTTTGTTGCATGTATCTGTCACATATAAAAAGGAGCTCAGAAAACTAGCAATACAATGTTTTAAAAGACACATGAAAAAAAAAGGAGCTCAGAACCACCAGGTTTGGAATCACACATAAAAGAGCCCTCATGGCCCAATCCTTAAGTGGTTGACTGCTAATTGAAAGGCCTTTGGTTAGACTCTACCAGTCACACCACAGAAGATGAGGTGGTCTGCTTCCATAAAGATTTACAAGGTCACTGTGAGTTAGGAGTTTTGGTCTTAATAATACACACACACACACATATATATATAAGGTTTATCTATGCAAATCATACATAAATAATAGTTTTGTTCCAGAAAAGGACAAAAGAGTAAAAGCAAAAATAGGCTATGATTGTCCAAGTCATCACCCCCAATTATCAAAATGTACAGATTTTTAGCACCTGAATGCCAACTTTGTTTTTTTTTTAATGGTACCATTCAAAGGCAAATTAATTTGCTATTTAATATACCAACTGCTTTCTGTTTTCAATTTTTCCCCAATTCATACACTATATATTTTCTTTTAGGAATACTAAAATAATTGTCCTCTAATATAAAGCTCAAATGGAAAACGCAGTTGAAAAGAAAAAGGAATTTTTCTTTCAAGTTTCACAAAATTGCTCCTTCTCTTCTTACTACTTTGCTAAAAGTATTCCAAATTTAGCAGTAACTCACTGTCAAATCTAGTGGCCTTTTAAAGTTACTACCTACTAATGACAATCTCCGTGTTTCAAACTTGATCTTACTAAGTCTTCTATAATACTACTATAGTATTTTGTACTCCTATTCAGTATTGCAGGCATAATCTTCCATTATGTCTTCAACACTGACCCTCAAGAAATGCTGTCTTCTCTCATGAATTAATGCAATTTTCATAAATAAAGTTTCTAAATTTATACATGGATCTGAGTTCTCTCCGGTTCTCATTCTTACACTGCCTACTTGTAATGTCTTCTCTGATATCCTTTAACGCAAAACCAAATTCGCTGCAGCAGCTGTAAGGAAGAACTGCTCACTACGGCTTTCCTTAGACTGGGAATCTATGGAAGCAGACTGCCACATCTCTCTTTGTGGAGACGCTCCTGAGTCTGAACTACTAGCCTTTCAGTTAGCGGCCCAAATGTGAAACCCATGGCACCAACGGGGCTCCTTTTGATATCCTACACCCACTAAAACCCACTGCCATCGGGTGAGTCAGTTCTGACTCATAGAGAACCTATAAATGGGTTCTAAGACAGAACATATTTACAGAAGCAGACAGCCTCATCTGCACTACCTGATGTCCTATAGTTCCCTCAAATTCAGATTCTCTGCTCTAATATCTAATAACATGCAACAGTCACCTACCACCCCAGTCTATCTCTCTCACACCCTTCTCCATTATAAAGATGAGGAGCTTGATCGCCGACACTCGAAAACCGAGAGACAGTTCTGACTTTTCACTTTGTAAACCAACATTAATGCATCAACACCAAGTCCAGTACAACCATTCTTCAAAATGTTTTTAATCGTTAACTCCCATTTCTACTCCAAAACTTAAACCCACACTTGACAGTCCCTACCTGGCCTTCTCCTCATTTTACCTCTCTCCATCCTCAATCTTCCTAAAGCATACTTACAATGACTACATACTATTCCAAGCATGTTTACTGAAGAAGCCCTGATAGTTGTGGAAAATGAAAATACATCTTTACGAGTTCTAGAATAACAGCCCGAAATGGCTTGTCATACACACAAATTTCTTTTATACTCTTTTTTTTTTTTTTTTTTTTT